GTTCTTAGAAAGACTAACATTTTTGAAAAATCCAGCATAGGTTTCCCACAAACCTTGGTTTGAAAAGATAGCCAGTGAAAGACAGAATAAAATACTCTATGAACAATCCTTATCCATCATAGTCCTAAAAAGTAGTTAAAAGGTCCATGATACCCCGTTTCAGGTCAATTTGTCTGTTGTAAAAATAATTTCTTCGTATGGAAATGATGGATAAGGATTGTTCATAGAGTATTTTATTCTGTCTTTCACTGGTTATCTTTTCAAACCAAGGTTTGTGGGAAACCTATGCTGGATTTTTCAAAAATGTTAGTCTTTCTAAGAACGACGTTCTCTGATGGAATCTCAAAACAACCGAGGTTAAAAACGTATTTTCAGCTTATTTTCCATAAGAACAACTGGCCAATATGTGCAAATGTCTTTTCGACAAAAGTCCAGTCAAAATAAGGCAAAAGAATGAGGAGCCGTTTTCTGATCAAATGCGCTCCCCTCTTTGAATTAGAATTTATTTCCGACTCTCAGTATATCTGCCGGAAACTAGAACAACGACTAACACAATTTGAGAGGTTTTAAAATTGATTTAGCAAATTTTATCTACTGAAAATACATAAAATAAAAATATTTTATTTATTTAGATACAGGATAGCATTAATTTTCTCAATGAAAGCTATATGAAGAAATGAAAACTGCGTCGTGCATCAAGACAATTTGCCGATATTATTTCTGCACTCAGTTTTGAAACCCAGGAACTTGAACAACAAAGAAATTCTGATTTTTAACATTTTGTACATTATCTTTTTAAGTGTATTGAGTTCAATCATCTACTCGTGTATTTCAAGTCACCTTCGACCCGTATTTGACATCGACAGATCTGATAACAAATGAACCTTGCAGATTGCTAGCACATCCGTGCATTTTTACAAAAGAAAGAATAAAAGGTGGTCCAGCAGTCCTGTCTCATTCAGTATTTTCTCAACATCTCGGTCAAGGTTGATCGCCAGGCTTCAGTCTTTTTTTAAAAAGGAACCTCATTAAATTCTCTACACAAAACACACTGAACATTTCTTTATGTACCATAAGAATAAAACAGTATAGAGGAAATACGAGAAAGCTTCGATGTCAATTACTTTCAAATAGATTTTTCACTTTCAGTCCCTTATACTTTGCGATATGAAAAAAGAGAAAATGGCCATTTTCAGATCTGGTTTATCTTAAAGCAAATATTCGGTCAGCATTGATACTCAACTTTTGTTTTTGTTTAAATGAAAAAAGATACATTTTCTCTTGCTAATAAACAACAAAATAATTCTGTTATATCCGAACAGAGGAAGTCGGAGAGTTTCGTTTCGTTTCTTGTGTCAAGGCAAAGAAATCAAAATTTTACTTTTTTTTTACTTTTAGTAAAATCTTCATTTGTGGCAGAAAAAAAAGTTTGTAGCGAAGCTTTTCTGTATTTCCTCTATATTTTTTTATTCTTATAGTACATAAAGAAATGTTCAATATGTTTTGTGTAGAGAATTGAATTATTTTTCTTTTCAAAAAAGATTGAAGTCTGACGATCAACCTTGACCGAGATATTGAAAAATACTGAATGAGACCGGACTTGTGGGCCATCCTTTAAATGAATTAAAATAAATCTTGAGCAACAAGTGTAAAGTTTTAGACTCCCTTGAGTTTCGAGAAAACTAGAGTGCTGTGATAAGAAGTACAAATGTTGCGCTTACTATTAGGAAACACCTTACCCTGTCTGAAATGTTAACTGTGTCCGAAAAGAGAGAAACTTTTGAAAGCTCATATATCGTTCTGTGAATGGCCGTCATAGATATGTTAGACTGGAAGTGGGATCATTTTGTAAAATCAACTATACAGCGTGTCCAGCTAGCTCTGCTACAGTAATAGAATTCCGAAACGGTTTTTTCATCATTTTGTTTTGCCTATGATTCCTAAACCGACAGCTGTAGAATGTCGCGGACATCTTAAGTTGAAGAGAAGAGTCTGGTTAACATTTTGAGACGCTTTTTAGCCTTACAGCACGTATCGTTATGTGGCTGTAACCTAACACTGGACACCAGTATTTAATTTTAGGCTAAAAAGCGTCTCAAAATGTTAGCCAGACTCTTCTCTTCAACTTAAGATGTCCGCGACATTCTACAGCTGTCGGTTTAGAAATCGTAGTTAAAACAAAATGATGAGAAGCGTGTTACGGTAGCAAAGTCAGCTGGCCATGGCGTATATTAACATTCTCACTTGGCGTATGGACGTAGTTTTGTGGAGTCTGTGTTAGTTAATTGTTTTTATTGGGTGAACGAACTTTAAACAACGTGGCTTTCTAATACAAAATATGTCTTAATGTTACAGCAAATATCACAGCATCTAGCCAGAGCCCTGCAAGCGGTTTTTCCATACATAAGAATAAGTCAAAGAGATAGCAATGATTTTATTTGAAAAAATGTCAACTGTGATTATATATTACGTCGTCACTACTGCAGTTACCTTACTGCAGTCGCTCGTTCTCTTATTTGATCTAGTTTCTCCAGTCGTCGTTGTTCTACTTGCTGTTGTTTTTCTTCCATTGTTAGCCATTTTTGTAATTTCCACTGCTCCATTTGTTCTTCGTGCTGTTTCATTTTTTGATGTCGTTCTTTTTTTGCTTGTTCAAACCGTTCTTTTATCTGTGCTTTTTGCTTATGTCTTTCTTGTTCTTTTCGTTCATGTTCTTCTTGCAATTCTAACAATCGCTCCTGTCTCGCTTTTTCTGTTTCTTGTTCTTTATGTAACAGTTGAATTTGGCGTTGTCGTTTTTCGTCTTCTATTTTATGTTGTCGTTGTTGTTGTTTTTCTTCTACACGATTTCGTTCATCTATCTTTTTTTGATATCGCTCTTGTACAACACGTGCTCTTACACGATCACGTTCAAGTTCAATTTTCCTTTGCTCACTTCGCTTCATTTTTGCTCCACTTTGATTGTCCTAATGATTGTTGACACGATTGCAATTACAGTTTAAAATGACGTCTTTTTCGTTCTCCTAAACGTAAAAAAGCAACAAAACTTTTTTGCAATTGTTCGAATAATTGTGCTATGCTGAACTATTATTAAAAAAATGCGATATAGACGCTGCTCAGTTCCTACGCCAGACACTTTATTCTTTCTTTTACGTTCTATGCTGAATACAAAACTTTTCATGCTTGTGCAGCACATGGAGAACATTTAAAATGGATGTGTAAACAAATCCTAGAGGTTTGTTACAGAATTTTTTCCTTTGATCGATTTAGAACAAACTTCTTGCAAAAAATTAGTTGTCAACAGACTTACCATTTCTTATTCCTTTTTCTCTTTAATAAATAAAATGAACGGCAATAATATAAAAATTTTTGACGTTTGTGTTGATGAAGAACAAGAGAAAAAATCTTTTTCTTCGATTGATGAAACAAAATTGAATGACATTAAAGAAATGGAATACTATAAACAAGTTAACGGTGATTATGGCTATACATTTTATTGTCGTGCTCTCTCCTTCAAATAGCACAACGCTCCTCTCCGTTACCATATACTTTTCTTCGCACTTAAATAATAAAACTATGAACACAAGACCACTATCCATGTCAAAATATAGCATACGTGGATATTTCACGAGTAACTTTTGAAAGGAAAGTGATAGGAACCTCCAGTGTTCAGTATTTCGTAGTCAAAATGTAACATCTTTTCCGTATCAATGAGCATTTGAACAACGCATTTTTCTGCTGTATCCAGTAGCTCAGGTTTCAGCTTTTTGACCTGCCATAGCAATCTCTATGTCACCCATCCCATGTAGAAAATTTTCAGCGAATTTCTGCGTTAAAAATTAAAATAACGCAGAAAAGAGCGATTTGCGTACAAAATTTTGCTAAAAGGTCAACTAATGCAGAATATTGTCGATAATCTTTTTCTCATTTTTCGCAAAATTTTGTTTTTGCAAAAAAATATGCGACTTTTATTCTGGATTTTGGTAAGAAACAAAGTTTTGCAAAATTATTCAACCAAATAATTACAAAATTTTGCAAAAAAGTGGACTAATGCAGAATTTTGTCGATAATCTTTTTGTTACTTTTTGCAAAATTTTGTTTTTTCAAAAAGTACGACATTTTTATTGTGAATTGTTGCAAGAAACAAAGTTTTTAATTTCCGAATCTCTCCAGTAAGCCTGCTGGGAGCCACCTTTGAGACGAAATTTGACGTTTTCGGTGATCCTCCATCACATTCTGGATTGTCCCTACCCATTTTTATCAACCCCAATTAATATATCTGGACTTTACAACTGTCAATGTATATGAATCAACTAAAAACCCGATACCTTTCTCTGGTTTCTGATATATAGGTCTTTGAAATCTTGGATTTTTCAGAAAACCTATCAACTGAAAAGTACGTTGAAAATTCTTTTTAAACATACCATTACACAGAACGTTCATTTCTCTACAAAATGGCATGTTTTCTACGTTTGCGTTGTTTAGCCAAATGAAATCGAATCAAAACCACGAAAAGAGATTATTAATGGCTAAAATATGCGTGATTTCATTGATTGAATTCTGTATTGACTCCAACGCGGTCATTCTTTAACTTGAAAGCGTCAAAAATATGTCATTTTGTGGAGAAGTGAACGTTCTGTGTAATGGTATGTTTAAAAGAAATTTCGATGTACTTTGCAGCTGGTAGATTTTCTGGAAAACCCGGGATTTCGAGGACCTATATATCAGAAACCGGAAAAAGGTATCGGGTTTTTAGTTGATTCGTATACATTGACAGTTGTAGAGCCCAGATATATTAATTGGAGTGATTAGAAATGGGTAGGGACAATGCAGAATGTGATGGAGGACCACCGAAAACAGATAAAACGTCAAATTTTGTCTCAAAGGTGACTCCCAGCAAGCTTACACGCTCGAGGTGAAAAACAAAAAAATTACATTTCTAGATAGAATTGACCGGAATGCACATATCAGTTTTGAGTTTAGAGTTCGATTTGATGGTGAAAAATGCATCTCAATATGACGGATTTTCATGATTTTTGCCAATATTAGGTTTAATCTATTTATAAACAACATGTAGACAACATGTTACTGGGCTACCTGAGACACTAATATCATTGTCAAACATCAAGGCCTCCCCGCGGATCAGAAATCGATCTCGATAACCACAGGTCTGATCTGAGCAAAAATTTCGTGATCTGTTGGACACGTTGGGCGATAGCTGCTATATAATTTCAATAGCACCATCCATCATCGTGTATGGGGTGTCGCTCGAACAGAGCCTAAAATGCGGCATTCACTGAGCTGGCGGATTTCTCTTCTCAAAGACAAACTTCAAATTTTCTCGGTTCTTTATGTCATGTTACATGATCTCATCGGTAATAAAACGTGAACGAATAATTAAAAAATTTAGAATAAGTTAAAAATCTCAAGTACTTGGGCTTTAGATCGGTGACATTTTCATGCGGCACATTCCGCTGGGTATTTCTACCATGGTAAACAGTAGAAATTAAGTATTTTCGATCTCTTATTCGATTTTAAGAATATTTTTAATTCATTTTGGTATGCTCTACGTAATGTCAACAAGCTTAATCCGCCGATAATGTCCACAGGCCTTCAAAATATTTAGTTTCCGAGATTTGGGATTAATGGCGTAGTCAAGGCCTCTGATTGGTTCTTTTTCATTTGAGAAAAAATGTTTAACGTAGAAAACAGTTGAAAAAGACCACGAGAGGGATCTTTATCCACTAAAAACACCAATTCGAAATTGAAAACACTTAGAAAGTTCGAAAATTTTCTTATCTTTTACGTGTTAGCGCCCCCTATAGCACATCAAAATTGAAAAGAAGCCGAGAAAAATACTAATGAAGACTGCTGAAAACAGTAAAACATAAAATTTAGCAATGTTTTGAAGAGAGCAGATCTCAGTGAGGTAGTAAATACCCTAAAATGATTCGTGCCTATGACTCTTGCAGGCTAGGTTTACCAGGAAACCAGTTTTTCAAGAACTCTAAAGAATAGCCAGTTTTACAGAAAACCGGGTCTTCAAGAGTCATGAGCATGAATCCCTTTATGGTATTTACTACCTCACTGAGATCTATCGATCAACGTACAAATCACTGGAATCGGAAGGGGACATCTCGAAGCATTCCCTCGTGAGCTTAGTCCCTAGTCGACCGATCTTACGGCAATTCTATAGAAATCTTATAAGAATCTTATATAACGCAGTCGATGGAAATTCTTATAAGAAAGAATATAAGAATCTTATCAGATTCTGATAAGACTTCGGTAAGATCGATTATATAATTAGTTTAGAAGAGTTCATAAGATCTTGATAAGTTAACATACGACCTTTTATTTACATCCATTAAAGCGTTTGACTATATGGAAACTATATAGGTAACCCTGCATCATATAGGATCCTACGAAACACAGGAAATCGTTTAGGAATTATATTGAGAGAGATTTATATTTTGCTAGAAACAACTCATTAAAATGTTTTTCGAAGATAAATTTTCTGTTGCGATCAATCAAGAAATTCTTTTCTTTGACCACTGGTTATTGAATGATGAGTCATGTTAGTAACTATAGAAGAAGTTCTTTTATTATTGCTTCTAGTACTTTATTAAGACAGATATGAAAAGAGTTGATGCATATTAGTAGTATTCGACTTGCTCTATTTTCTGCGGCTAGGAGAGTCCGAATTGAATCCGATCTTTATAGGAAAAAAAAGGATCTCAAGTAGCGCATTTTTCTAGAGAACAGTTTGAAAAAGTGGTATTTATACCAACGAGCAACATTTCGTGCCTTGCATTCTCATCTCACATATTTTTATTTTTCGAACTTCACTTTCTTCCTATAATCACGATAGATTTGTGGAAGTAAATTCGGTCTATAAGCAGTAGACAGTGAGAACAAGTCATGAGACTGTTCGCGTGGGACTAAGGTCTTATTATAGAAAAATTAAATAAATGGAAAGAAAATTATTTTATTCACGTATGAAACAGTAGATTATAGTAAGAAAGTAGAATATAGAGTACTGATCACTAAAGAATGTGATGAAATTGTACTATACCCTTCCTATAAGATTCTTATCAGA